GATCATGAGGCTAGCTCACCAAAACCCTAAATAACTAGGAACCCTATGAAACTTTAAGTCATGGCTAGAAACCTTGATCCCATCTTTAATATTCAATATTCAATGTTTAATGCATCAATGATATCAAGTCCTTGTTTCAATGTTCAACGCAAACAAATCTTCAAGTTAGTGGGGACTCAATACAAAAATTCAATAAAAGTTTGATATAGGCCCCAACTATAGGCCCGGTTATATAAGCTTTCTACGTTTCCTTTTATTCCATTATTTGATTTTAGTTCTTAATAAAAAAAATTAACTTTTTTGTTTATAGAAATAGTGATTTTTAAATGAGATCTAGCCGTGCTGTTTAGGTATGTTTTGTGACACTAAAATCCCAGATAGTCTAAAGCAAAGGCATGATGCATAATAGAGTTCCTAAGACCGACTCAAAATTCAAGTGTAGTAAGATGATTGTCTTTTGATCCAATAGATCCGTTCTCGAATAATTAAGGGTGGCAATCGGGTAGGGTAGACTTGCCGACCCGACGGGTTGAACTTGAATTAGATCCGGGTCCAAAACTTGGACCCGGCGGGTTGGCTTTGGCTCCGGCTTGACCTCTATCGGTTGGATTGGGTCCGGGTGGACCCCACACGGTATAAAATATATAGAAAAATATAGTATACAATACAAAAATTAATTTTTTAGACCCCGGTCCAAGTCGGGTTTCGGGTCCAAATGACTTGATCCCAGGCCGGGTCCAAGTGACTTGGACCCGACTCAAGTATGGGTCCATGTGAGACCTTTTTGGGCCCGGGCTCGGGCCCGAGCCATTGACACTCCTAGGAATAATCGGGAGTCTATGGAATCCCATATATGAATTTGTAAAGCATCTTTTCAACGGGCATGCCTATAAAATTTGGGGTTTATCTCTTTTAAATTGGCAGGATCCGAGGAAAAGATTAAGTTTAGATTTATCAGCACAAACCATGCCTCATCATATGGGATTGGGAATTAAAATCCGTAGAATAAGTTGACTGCCTAATAAGAACGGCGGTCAAAACAGTTCAAATCCGAATTCTAAATGACTAAAATTCAAATAGATTAGTTGTAAGTTTGAACAAAGGATTTCATCCGTGGGTGAGAAATTAGCTTGATCCGAAATTTGAATTGTCGGATTTTATCTGGATTTGGGTATGGATCTAAGATTTGATCCAACGGATCGGATCCGAATCCAAAATTTAGATCTAAATAGTAATTCAGAACGAATTTGTGTACAGGTGGAAGCGATCTAGATCCCACCCGATTATTAAAATATTATATATTATTATATATATAAATATATGTTATATTATATTTTTTGTTATATATTATTTTATAGGTATAAAAGAATATATAAAATAAATATTTGGATCCGATACTATCCAGATCCAAATCCAAATCCCATGTATCCTGTTTGGATATGATCGTATTCAGATCCGAATTCAAATATCATATATATTTTTCGTATTTGAATCTAGATCCCAACGGATCCAGACCCATCCGACCCATTCTCAGCCCTACTAAGTATCATCAACCAATGAATTGAAGAAAGGTTTTAGATCAACAAAGGATGGATAAAACCATATATCTACTTAGAGCTTACAAAAGCAGTCTAATTAAAGAGAGGGGAGATCTTTAGAAGAGAGAAATGGTGAAACAACATGAACCTCCTACTCAGAAAGATGGTAAAAGATTTGAAGATATCATTAATTCAAATAAAAATAACTATAATACCCTTATAAATTGTAAACTTTTATGGGTAATTTAGTCATTTTATTTATTTTAAAATAATTTTTTATATTTTTACAAATGTAGTATGTTGAGAAGTATCAACTCTAAAAAAATAGAATCAAAATATAATATACACTCTCAAAAAATGGGTCTTGAGATTAAAATATAAAATATAAATAATTATTTCTTAATTTTGATAACTAAAATGAAAATTTTAATAAAATTTTGAATTATTTTAGATCTCATTATTGGCACATCCTCAACAGCTTGATTTCACATCAAGTGGCAAGAGTGATTATAAACTGCATGCCAGAGGCAAAAGTGATTATAACCCCCATGCCTAAGGCAATTGAACTTATCTTGTGCACTTTCCACATAAAAGTAGGCCACATCCCCATCCTTCAAAGCACTTTTAAATTGGCAATGTTCCCTGGCTTTAACTTGTCATTATTCTTAAAAAGAAAAAAGAGATGCTTCTCTCTATCTTTCCTTAAAAGTGGAACAAAGCTTATTAAACCCACTTAAAGTTTCTTAAATATTTGAATATATGAAAATGATCAAGAAGTATACATCTATCTTTCCTTAAAAGTGAAACAAAAAGCTTACCAAACCCACTTAAAGTATAAAATATTTGAATATGTGATATTGATCAACAATTATAAAAATTAATCTTGTACGTTCCTTAAAAGTAATGCAAATATATTCATGAAGATTTATTTAGACCCACCAAGAAAAAAATGTAAAATATTTGGATATATAGTAGTGATAAATAAAGTTTACAAATTACTTTCAAATAATTGAAAATAAAATATGAATAATGAGACTAAAAAATTGGATATTATTTATAGAAATGATAGCGAGAGGTAGGGAATGAGATAGAGATTATTGGAAAGAGAGAATGGAAGAAAGAGAGAAATCATGGAGAGAAAGACCCTATAAAGAGATGTCAAAAGATATGCCTTCGGTAGATCTCAAGCTAGGAATATTTTTAGGGCGCTAAATTTTGAGGATGTAACCTGTTGAATGAGAAACCAACCTCAAAAAGGAAATTATCCAAATCAGATGTTCTATGTGCTTGAAAAAAATTATGGCCTAAGATTGAATTAGAAGAGATCTAAGTATTTAAGAACTCAAAATCCACCCTTTTTTTTTTTTTTTAAAAAAAAAGAAGTTTAAAATAATCATTTAATTATTCTTAATTAGATCAAAAAATTCAAAAAAAAAATCATAAATACGTCCCCTCAGACAGATTTGTACTTTTTTAGGCATCCCCAAATCTTTTGATGCGATTCTTGACCACGATGCTCTTTTTTTGCAAGCAACCATGAAGTACAAAAATTAATTTTTTGGGACCAAAATACCTTATTCCTTAATCACGGTTCTCACTTCTTCTCTTAGCTGGTCCAACACAACTTGTAGGGAGCTGGTGTACCGAACCAGCTTTATATTCAACTTGTGCCGGTGCAAGCCGGTTCCGCACATTTTTGTGTCATATTGGGCAACATGTTCGGACAGGTTAAAATAGGGGATATTTTGGTAAAAAAAAATTAAAATTTTATTTAAAAAATTAGTATTGCAGTTAATAGTGTAGTATAAAAAATATTGAGGGATACGCTACCTAAAAAGCAGAAATTAATGGTGTCTATAGTTTTTCCAAAATTCAGTCAAAAAAAAATTCTAAAGTATCTCTTCCGTCCAAGGGAGTTAATATACATTATGCTCCCATAGAGCTATACACCGTCCAAAGTGATTTCAAAGCATTTTGGAGATATAAACCTCACCATTAAAAAAAAAAAAAGAAGAAAAAAAAAGAAAAAGAAAAGAACAAATAAAAGCCTCATTCTTTCCTACGCTACCTGTTTCATCCATTAACTAAATCTTCTTAGAATAATATAAGGAAAATTGTTTCATCGGGCTCGATCGTATTTCGATATATGCATTCCAAAAAATGTAAATCATCCATTTTAAAAATAGATATAAGTAGGTGTTTTATCTAAAAACAATGAAAATTAACCATCCAAATTTTTTTTACTAGAATTATTAATTTTAATTTTTAAAATTTATTTAAAATTTTAAATTACATGCCTTAAAAAATTAAGTTTTAAAATATATCTCAAAAATAGATTTATGAAGAGGTCCCATTTCTACATATGAGGACTTGGCCACGTAAAAACCGGATCCTTAATATAGTCTCCCTCAAAAATCCAAACAACGATCAAATCATCAAAGGGCCCACAAGTCCACAATATGACCAAACTGCCCTTGGTATTCAAAAAGACTATTATACCCCTATTTCTTGACCGACACATCCTACCAATCATTTTTGAAAAAATTACAAAAAAATTCTAAAATATACTTTTTATGGAACTTACCTCTAGTTAACTTTTTTTCATTTTTTTTTTTTCTAAAAAACAAACTTTTTCTACAAATATCTCTAGAAAAAACAGTTTATTTTTTTAAACGAAAATGTCTTTCTTGTGTAGCACATTGTCGGAATGCACTTAAATAGTGCCAGAGCCATGTGACTCAAAATACTATACTGCCGTAGCACACTTATGTCGGAGCGCTGTGTTACATTGCTGGAATGCATTTTACGAAGTGTCGGAGCATTGTGCCCTTTCGTAGCACATTGCCGAAGAGCACTAAGACAGTGTTGGAGCCCTGTGACTCGGAATGTTCCACTGCCGGAACGTACTTACGTAGTGTCAGAGAGCTGTCTTACACTGCCGAAGCTCACTTACGCAGTGCCGGAGCGCTGTGTTACACTGCTGGAGCACACTTACGAAGTGCCGGAGTGTTGTGCCCTTCCTGTAGCACAGTGCTGAAGTGCACTTAATCAGTGCTGAAGCGTCAGAATGCTCCATTGCCGCACTTACGTAGTGTCGAAGCGCTGTTTTACACTACCGAAACGCACACTTACATAATGCCGCAAAGAGGTCGGGGTATTCGGTAAAATAAGGGTAGTTTTATTTTTTTTTAATTTTTGAAATGGTTGAGGAATATTTGCATAATTTGTTTTTTTTTTTTTTGGGAAGAGAGTGAGAAAGAAACTTAATTTGGGGTAAGTTGCATAAAAGAAAAATATATTTGAGGGGTTTTTTATAATTTTCCCAACATTCTTTCACTCCAACCGTCGGATGATTCTTACGTCAAAATAATTTCAAAGAAGGTCATAAAAAATTACAGAAAATCCAAAGTTAAAGCATCCAGGCGTCATATGACCCTGCGTTAATCACGGGAAGAGAGAGAATGTATTTTTTAGAGAGAGAAAGAGGAATATGGTTTTTTAGAGAGAGAAAGAGAATGCAGTCCATTTGAGAAAGGATGATAAGTGGGCCTGTGCTCCCAAGAAAAACACCTAGTTGGAGTCCACCCCAAACTCCTCGACTACTTGAGCAACTACTTCTCTCTCTACTTTCTCTCTCATACTTGGGCAACTCCTCCACTTTCTTTCTGCTCCTAGTGAGAGAAACCCATCTCTCCTCTCAATACAGTTGATACATTTTTGTGGCATGTGGGTTTGGAGGTCTTTCAATGGCGGGCATCAACATGAAGGTGTTGGGTTTTGGTTTGAGAGAAGCAGTGGACATGGTTTTGGGTACGTACCCAAAAAGATTCCTCAAGAGAAAAGATAGTAATGCAAGTGAAAAAGGTAGGCTACATTCTGCTGTTTCTTGGCTAATTTTCTCTTTTTTTCTTGTTGCTTTGAGTTGGGTTTTTGGATTTCTACGTTGGTTTTTGAGGAGATTTCTGGTTTTGTTTGGATCTGACAGTGGGTTGTTTGTTTGCCTTTTTTTTTCGTTGTTGATGAATTGGGTCGTGTTTATCTGGCTATTGATATACAATTTTTGGAATTTTGGGCTAAAAAAAGTTTCTATTTATGATATGTATTGTTATTGAAGGATTTTTCTGCAGGATATTGTATAAATGGGCAATAATAGATAGAGATGCAGGTTTCCTTTGGTGATTTTGGTGGTTTCAGGGAGAAAACGATATCTGGTTTTGTATATGGGATTTGGAATTTTTTAATGAATGTAGTTTTTCTCTACTTTCCTCTTTTTAATGAATAAAAACCGTGGTTTTATTTTTTTATTTTTAAAAAACTTTAAGAGGCTTTCTATGTTGACTTTGTTACGTTTGAGAAGAAATGTGGGTTTTCCTTTTTTTTTCTTTTTCTTCTCTCTTGGATTTGGGTTTACTGGCATGTTGATTTCCTATATGGTTTACAGGAATATTTGTTTCTAGTCAATTATGGTCTTCATTTCTTTTTCTCCTGTTGTTCTTTCCTCCAATCTTTGGATGAGTTACTGTTTACAAGAAAAAATATTTTCTTTTCATTTTAAGAATGTTTACTTTGTTAGTTAGGTTCCTTTTTGTAATTTTTTTATCTCATTTGCAAGTTTTAACTTTATTTAGTTATTTATTTAACAGGTTGCTTTTAGAAGAAATTTATATGGTTTTGGGGAATTTACAAAATTTTGTTAGAGGGATGTTGATTTTATATGCACCGGCAACTTATGACTCTTAGTACTCTTGGGATTTGGTCTCCCTCAGTCCCTTTCTTATTTGTGGATCCAGTTTTCATGAACATTAGCTTGTATTATACTTAACA